ACGACGAGATGCGCGGGGGCATTCGGCCCGACGACGCTCGCCGCCGACAACCCTGGGGAGCAGGGGCGATGGCGCTTGGGCGGCGGGGAACCGGACGGCGGAGGAGAGCGAGGAGCGGTGCAGAGGCGGGCGATGTGGCCGTAGTGACGACAGCAGCGACAGCGAACATTCCGACGTCATTCGGACCGCCGATGGACCGGGCTGGGGCTGAGGCATCGCGGGCACTCCGGAGCACGCGGAGAACGCGGAGAGGATACAATAGGCAGCGACACTGGCAGCATTATGCAATGAATCGGCCGCGCTTGTTCATATACTCCTCGCGCTATGATGTATAGGTAGTCTTTTTGCAGTATCGAAGTTTCGCGGGCCGGCCCAAGAGAGAGCTGCTGTGTGCCCATTAGGGGCACTCGCAAAATGCTGTCTCATGGGCTACTTCCTTAACAGAAGCAGAATCGCAAAAGCCCTCACGGCAGCCCAAGCAGTGCCAAACCTAGCTCGCACTCGAGGCTATAAAATACCTCCGCCGCCACGTCTCGCAAACCCTCTCTAAAACCCTAGCACTCCGCTCCCCTACACTCCCTCCTTGCCTCTACGCCGCCAGCGGTCCATGGGCAAGTCAAGCAAGAAGTCCGCGGCCCCTACTGTCGTGGCGCCGGCGGCCGTCCTTACCAAGGGGAAGGCCGGGAAGAAGCGCGAAGCCGATGACGAGATCAAGAAGGCTGTAAGCGCAAAGAAACAGAAGGCTGCGCCGGCAAAGGCGGTGCCCGGGCCCAAAGAGGCCGCCAAGAAGGCCAAGAAGCAGCCGCCGCCCAAGAAGGTTGAGAGCAGCAGCTCTGAGGAGCAGTCATCCGAGTCCGAGGAGGAGGAGGTATTGCCATCTTTGCGCGCTTCCTACTTTTGCTGTTTCCTCTCTGTTCTGCTCATGTGTGCTTGTTTGGTCAACATTTCGTGTATCATGGTTAATGTTCGGTGCGATGTAGTACTAATTTCTGGACGTGGCATAGGTTCTGAGCAATAATTTTTTAACATCAGGTGGCCATCGGCAATTCTCAGTGTCAGAGTAGTAATCCTTTGGAAGCTAATTGCTCCGTGACAGATATATACTGTACTATACTAGTGCGTGTATTTCTAGGGAATACTACTACCATATTATGATTTTGTTTGTATTCACGATCCAAGCTTCAGCACTAGTACATCAGCTACTGAGCTCTGCATTATCAGGTTCCTAAGAAGACTGCAAAGCCTGTCAAACACGAGTCTTCAGATGATAGCAGCGACGATTCCTCCTCTGACGAGGTATAACTTCACCGTCCCAACTCAAAGATGTCTCCATTTGACGCATCCTAATTATCTTCTTTTTCCTGTTAATTAAGGAACCTGCAAAGAAGCCTTCTGCTAAACCTGTGACCCCAGCTGCCAGCAACGGCTCAAAGAAAGGCAAGCCTGAGAGCAGCTCTTCTAGTTCTGAGGATGAGTCCGATGATGACGAGGTGAATATTTCACCTTAAGTTTTTTTCTTGCACTTGTTAGTTTCATTTTGAAGTTATTGAAACAAGTAAATCCAACTATTTTCACTTCGAAATATATTTTGCCAGGCCATAGTAGGATATTATTCTATTCTCGTGGTTATGGTTGGTTTCTTAGCTGACTTAATGCTGGTCTCTTCATTTCCCAGAAACCTGCTGCTCTGGTAAAGAAAACACCAGCCATCGAATCTGACAGCTCCGAAAGTGACTCAGATGATAGCTCAGATGAGGTTAGTGCATGTGTGGTCTATTTTCTTGCTTTTCTCTTCTATGCATGTTTGCAGTGCTGTGATTGAATATGTCTTTAGGATGTTCCTGCCAAGACTCCTGCTGCTGCTGCCAAGAAGGTAGATTCTTCAGACAGTTCTGAGTCGGAGAGTGAATCTGAGGATGAGGTATGCAGTAATTATGTTTTTGAAGTCTTCATTGGTTGTTTCATAAATTTTATTGACATATTCTCTCAAACTTTGTAGGAGAAATCAAAGAAAGCCGCACAGGCCACCAAGATAGCTCCTGCAGCTGCTAAAAGAAAGGAGGAGCCCAGTGATTCCTCAGACAGTGATGAGAGTGATGAAGAGCCTCCCCAGAAAAAGCTGAAGGTTCTACTGCTTGTTTCTATTCATTTTTCGTCACTAACTTTGTAGATTATTACTCCATTGTTTACACATTTTTCCTCCACAGGATGCTGCGAAGGTTACTCCTAAGTCTGCCAAAAAGGACAGCACCAGTGATGATGACAGTTCTGATGAAAGCTCTGATGATGAGCCTAAAAAGGTAAGCTGGGGATTTCAGAAAATTTAGAATGTCGAGAATAGATATGTAGCATAAGAGTATGCTGCCGTCCAGCTGCTAAATGGAAGGAGTCGAGTGATTTCTCATATTTTTATTTTATCTCTTATCTTAAGTTTTCTATTCTTCCAAGTTTCCATCTGAATTGGCATGACTGCCCTAATGACATGTTTTTGTGTGAAACTTTGCAGAAAGTTACAACTGCCACAAAATCACAGAAGGAAGAGGTATAACCTGTGCACCTGATCTTATCCTGTAGCCTTTCATGTACATGTGATGTATGTTTTGATATATTTTACAGCCTAAAACTCCTGCTAGCAACAAAGGTCAGGCAACAGGGTCGAAGACCCTTTGGATGGGGAACCTTTCCTTCAATATTGAGTATGATCAAGTGTAAGTTCCCTGCAGCAGATATGTTCATCATTATTCTTTCAACATTCATAATTGTTAATGTTCTTGTTTCTTTACAGGAAGCAATTTTTTGCACAAATTGGAGAGGTCGTTGATGTTCGCCTGGCTACCCATGAAGATGGCCATCCCAAGGGATTTGGTCATGTTGAGTTTGCTACGGCTGAAGATGCTCAGAAAGTAAATGTTTCTGTTTTACTCCCTCAGCTCATATTAGTTGACGTATTTCAGTGCCTAAATACATCCGTTTGAGCATCAATTAATATGTGACGGAGGCAGTATTTGACATCAGTTCCTCTTTATGTTAGTTTTAGAATTTATACACGCACCTTAGTAGATATGCTTCTTTGCCCTTAATCTATAGTGCTTTAGTATCTAGTTATATGCGTGATTTCTCAGTTCTAGAGTTTTCACTGCTATAACGAGACATTCTGTTTTTCAAGTACTGGTTGTTTTTGACAGAAATATGGTACATTTTCAACCACACGGGTACCAGTTGATTCAAGATATCCAAGTTTGTATACCACTTCAGCAACAAAGTAGACACATTACTTCCGCTAATAAATCTCTGTTTCTTTTCTTCAGGCGCTTGATTCACTGAATGGTGGAGATCTAATGGGCCGTCCGGTGAGACTTGACATGGCTGCTGAAAGAGGTGCAACTCCTCGCACCAGGTACTGTGAATATGATCACTTGAAATTAAACATTTATTTGAATTGCTCTGGGTGAAAGCTTTATTTCTTTGTATGTTTAAATTTTTGTGTGACTGCAGGGATGGTGGATCGTTTGGAAAACCAAGTGGAGGTCCCAGCCTCTCAGTATTTGTCAAGGGTTTTGATTCATCTCAACAGGAGGATGCTGTAATTTCTTGGTTATCTTGTCTCACATTTTTCTAGGCAATTGTGTGCCTCCCTTTTCTGAGTTGTTCTTTCATTGTGAATTCTAGATTCGGAGCTCTCTTCAAGAACACTTCTCTAAATGTGGAGAAATCACACGTGTCTCAGTTCCGATGGATTATGAGAATGGTGCAAGCAAAGGGTACTTCAGCGCTAAACCTTCTCTAAACATTGCATCTTTAACAAGTACACTAGGCAAGCATCAACATATTTGTTACAAGGGTCCTGTCGTTTTGATATAATTAAAATAAACAACCTGGTCTTATCCTAATAGTGTTTGTAAATTGACAAATTATACTCTCTTGATGTTACTTTGATAAGTCAAGAGATACTTTAGCGCAAACCTTCTCTAAACATTGTATCCTAAGTGAATTAAAATGAACAACCTGGTCTTATCCTAAGTGAATTATATCCTAATAGTGTTTTTGTGTATGGTTTATGTGAATTCTGCAGGATAGCTTACATGGATTTTACTGATGAGAGTTCCTTTTCGAAAGCACTTGAGCTTAGTGGATCTGACCTAGGTGGCTGCAACTTGTATGTTGCCGAAGCTAAGCCTAAGGGTCAATTTGGTGGCGTTGGTGGTCGATCTGGTGGCAGAGATGGTGGCCGCTCTGGTGGTGGCAGGTTTGGCCGGTCTGGTGGCCGTGATGGCGGCGGCAGGTTTGGCCGGTCTGGTGGCCGTGATGGTGGCGGCAGGTTTGGCCGGTCTGGTGGCCGTGATGGCGGCAGAGGAGGCGGCCGAGGCTTTCAGAGCAGACAGAGTGCTGGCACAGCTAGCGCAGGTAAGAAACCAGTCCCGTCGAGTAACAAAAATATAACTTGTTTGATGCATGCTAGAAATTTGTCGGTATAGCATGTAAAAGACTAGCGTGCAAACTTTGGTTGGTTCTTTCTCCGGAGTTGTATAGATTTGCTAACTAACTCCTTGTACATTATGCCTTGCAGGGAAGAAGACCACATTTGGTGACGATTAGAAACTTTTTGAGCCACAAAATGGTCTGATGCAACTGCCGCGTGTCTAGACGACTGTATCCCCGTGTTTCCCATTATCCTAGTGGACCTAGTATCATTTGTCTGTAGTATTTTCTTGCCGCTATATGTTGTAATGCCAGAATTCTACTATATATGTTACACCTAGTGTTTTTATAATACTTCCTCTATCCAAGTATCCAAGACAAGAAGTGGTCAGGCATCTCCTATAAAATGGCCAATCATTAGTACTCCCTCGGTCCGAAAAAATTTGGCCCAAACTTTTAAATGGATGGTGCTAGATACAATCATTTGAGGGATAAGCTTTTTTGGATGAAGGGAATACCAAACAAACCAGTGTCCCTTGATTCTGATGATTTTAGAGGGTGAGATTAATTCAGGCTCTTCTCTTATCGCCCGAGCCTAATCTACACTAGCCATGCTGTGATTTCTTCCTCCTGATTCTATTTTTTTTCTTTCTTTCTGGATTCTAGCTCCATCCTTCATCTCAGCTTCAATCTTCCTCTTTTAATTTTGAGACATACCTTTACAAATTTGAGGACGCACTACTAATTAGGGATTGTTTGGTATATGAGGATCTAATCTTATACTAGCATGTGGTCAATTGTTTGTTCTGATCGACTTACTCCCGCCCCTTCTACGTCTTCCTCTTTTCAATCTCTTCTTTCCATACTACGTCTTCCTCTTTTCAGTCTCTCTTTCCAATTTTTTTCCATGTCGCTTATTTCCCTTCAATTCCTTCAGAAATCCAAATACTTAGCCAAGCGTGTTGGTGAGGACTTGGGTGGGTGGTCTCAAGGGACTTGAGAGCTTGCTCTCCGTTAAGGGATAGTGTTCGGGAACCTTGGTATGTATCTGACGGGTGATGGATAGTTTGAAGGCGAGGGCTTGGCAAATTCTCCATATTTCCAATGACCAGTGGGTGGCCTATGAGAAGAAATTTGTGAAGGGCAAGGACGGGAAACATGATTTTCGTTCCTGGCCAAGATACTTGGCCCCTCTTCCAATGGCTTGCCATGATTGAGGGGATCGCTACCTATTCTCGTTAAGGTGGCCTCGACTGAAGATATGGTAATCAAAACTGAGATGAGTGTTTTGTGGTGTTTAGTACATGCCCCAGATGAGATTCATGGAGTTTGAAGCTTGTGTCACATTGAATGGTAGGACGTGTGCTAGGCGATGTCTAGGGGAGTTCTTTTCTTGAATCCTAAGTCTGGATCAACTGTGTCTAACGAAGACATTGTACATGAAAAAGAGTGGCGTACTCTTCGACCCCGGAGGTTGGTATTCCCCTTTGTGGAAGGGAGGTGTGAATTGATGGCTTTCAAATGATACTTTGTGTGAGGCACATCAGTTCATTGTTAGGTTTCATAGAGGATTCTAGAAGATCACTTGGAGGAGGCTCAGTATTACACAAATGCATAACCGATGAGGAGAATGTGGCACGTGTTAATTGCATTGTTTGGGACATGGTGATGCACAAGGATAATATAGTAAAAGGAGATATACAAAGAGGAATAAGAAGGGAAAAGGTGGGTATGAACGAAAATGGTGTGCCTTTGAATAAAAGGTTTTACATGCTTTTCGCTAGACATGTGGCCGCACCAGTTATGCGAAAAAGGCATGTGTTGTAGTGCTGAAGAGAGAAGATCAAGAATTTGGACCATGGCTAAAGTTTGTTCCACTAATGCAGAGAAGCTTTGAAGATGATGGTTGGTCAGGTGGTTACGAGTGGAAGAGTAGTAGCTGGATCTATAGTCCGGGAGGTCGAGGTACTCATAATTACAAGTTGGGCTTTGGTGGGAGTTCGTCGGACAGTGGAAGCTAGTCTCTCATGGCACAGAGAAAATGGTTTGGGTGCTAGTGTGAACAAGTAAGCCACTGGCGGTGATGATTCTGTGGTTACTAGCCCTTTGAAGTTAAATAATGGTAAAGATAGAAATGAACTGAGCAAGGACGAGGGGGCACGTAAACAATTGGACTTGGGGGGAAACAAGTCTGGATCAAGGCGCGTGGAAGAAAAGAATAAGGGGATAATAGGGGATGAGTTGGAGAAATCGGAACTGAGTGATTTGTCGTGGGACAGGATGAGAGGGGAAGATAAACTTGATGGAGTGGATATTGTGCACTCAACAGAGGTGAAGAATAGTGGGGCAGTGACGGAGGGATCCGGAAACTCAACTAATGACGCTGAAGCAAGGCTGCTGAGTCGGCCATGCAGTCCCCAATGAAGATTGTAGCTTGGAACTGCGAGGGAATGGGGAATAGGCTGACATTTCGTGGTCTTCTGGATCTCCATAAGACGACCTTGGTATTTTATTTTTGTGAGAGGCCAAGCTCGACAAGAAGAGAACGGAAAAGTTTAGGATGATGTTGAGCATGCCGCATATGTTGGCAAAGGGAAGTGATGGTACTAGTGGCGGATTAGCTATATTCCTGAAGATGACTGTGTAAGTGCATCTAGTACCACCCCTAGTTGGTTTTGGAGTATTGACGACAAACGTGGTTGAGGGACTAATGTGTTTGTGAGATTCACAGGAGAACACAGGTAGAAGTCCCTATTGATTCGGTTTACCTGTCGGAGATGACCCCTAAAAATGTATGAAGACAATGGTGGTTCGTGAAGACATTCACGTCGAATACAATGGAGTGCGAAGACATAGTTTGTTTCGTAGTTTCATTTCTATTTCTTGAGTCATAGGAACCACCAAACTGTCAAGTGGGGTCCAAGTAAACAAAGTCAGAAAACTAACGTGATGCTCAACCCAAATCCTATGTCTTCGAGTGAAGACAATGAGAGAAAATCTCATCCAGAGTTGGATGAGTCAACTTTGCTTGGAGCCCAAGTAAAGCTGCCGCGTGTGTTTGAAATTCGACCGTTGGACATGTGTTGGCTCCTTAGTGACCCAGGGTTATTTCGGGCGTATCATGTCTGGTTGCCTCCTGGCTATAAATAGCCCACCCCCTACACCATAAATTGGCGACTGCTCAGAGTTAGTGCACGACTTTTGTCGTTTGAGAGCAACCCACCTCCGAAGCCTTTGAGAGAGAATCCTTGCAAGGACAAAGCCCAAAACACCCATGGACCAAAGAGTGTTTGGCATCACTGAAGTCTTTCTGTCCGTGTGATTTGAAGACTTATTCCACTTGGAGACTGTGATCTTCCAGTCGGTTAGGCGTCACGTTATGAGGATCCAAGAGTCATTGTGGATTACCGGTGAACGAAGTCTATGAAGGTTTGGAAGTCTACCGTGAAGACTTACCAGGGTGATTGGGCGAGGACTAAGTGTCCTTAGCTCAAGGGGAATAAGGTGAAGACGCGGTCTTCCGAGTTCAGTCTCATCCTCCCTAACCAGACGTACAGTTGTCACAACAAGTGGAACTGGTCTACCAAATCCTTGTCTTCGTCAAGCTACTGGTTCTATTACTTCACCCTTTACTTACTGTTTAGCTTCGTGAAGTCATTGCTTTCTTGTCATTTCTGACTTCACTGTGTGAAGATATTCTCTCTGATTGCACATTTGGCTTCACACTTTCTTCCTATTCCGATCTATTCTACCCAACAAGTATTTGTCTTCGTGCTATCCTTATAATGTTTCTTTGACTATGGCTTGTCTAGTGTAGTTTATCTTCCGCTGCATACTGTGTAGGTGTTATTTGCTTGCTTGTCTTCGAAGACATTTCATGTCTTGAAGACTTTCATAAAAATCGCCTATTCACCCCCCTCTAGTCGATAACTAGCACTTTCAATTGGTATCAGAGCAAGGTGCTCCCTTGTTCTGTGTGATTCGGTTTAACCACCTGGAGTTTTAGCTATGTCAACTATAGTGATAATCAAAGTCTCCGCCGCGTGCCCCGTCTTCGATGGCACTGATTACCCCGACTAGAAGAATAAGATGCGCATGCATCTTGAATCCATTGACAATGACCTCTGGTATGTCGTCAAGACTGGCGTTCCCAAAGTTGGTGAAGGCGCCACCGCTGCTGATGTCAAGAGGTTCGCGCAACTAGACTCAATTGCCAAGAACATCATGTATGGTCATCTGACAAAAGGGAAGTATGACCGTGTGAGTGCTCTGGAATCTGCGAAGCTAGTCTAGGACTGGCTGTCCAAGGTCAACGAAGGCGTCTTAGCACAGAGAGACTCAAGAATACATGTGCCTCGCAATCTCTTCAACCGATTCAAGAGGAATAACAATGAGAATGTTTATCTCATTTTCAACCGCCTCACTGATATCACAAATAAGCTTCGTGCACTTGGCACCACTGAGATCACCAAGCACGAAGTCGTGAAGAAGCTATTGAGATCACTTGACAGCTCATTTGACACACTGGTGATCCAAGAACATCCTGACTTCAAAGATCTTGATCCGTCTGACATACTTGAGAGGCTCAACACACTCGTTCCAACTATCTGAGAAGAGAGATATCTGTGGTCCCAACTATGGCCGATCTCATGCCTTGAAGGCAAAAGCTGTATCCTCATCTGAAGAATTTGACTGTAGTTTTGATGATCCTGAAGACATAGGCAAAGAGCTAGCAATGCTTGTGAGAAAGTTCAAAAAGTTCTCCAAGAAGAATCACTTCGGAAAATCTTCAAGATCCAGCTCCAAGAATGATGAGGCTTCCACCCGTGACTTCAAGAAGAGAACATGCCACAAATGCAAGAAGCCAGGCCACTACATATTTGAATGTCCTCAATGGGAGAAGGAAACAAAGAAAAAGAAGAAGAGAAAGGACTATGACTCTGATGATAAGAAGAAGAAGAAACCCTCAAAGTCTTCATCTTACAATAAGAGCTCATCTGACAAGGCTCGTGCGTTCATTGGCAAGGAAATGGATTCAAAGGAGGAGTCTGCTTTTGAGGAGGCAAAGGTGGAGTCTATGGAGGAGTCTGATTCAGGCGTGGCAAGCGTGGCTCTAGCTTCGGCATTCGTCGCCAAGTCCATCTTCAACACTGAAGACAATGGTCACGACGCCGATGCTGAAGCTACTAAGGACGATGATTCTACTCCCACCTACTGCTTCATGGCAAGAGGTGTTACGGTAAACTCACGCGATATTTACTTTCAGACCTCCAGTGAAGATGACTCTAAATGCGAATCCAAACCCAGCTATAAAACTCTTGCTAAAGTTGCAACTGAACAA